GGGTATTGGGGGTGTAGGGGTAATGCCCCTTGTTTAGGGGTGGGTGCGAGGGCACTAAGGGCAGTGAGGTGTAGTGGGGGTTGGGGGTCGTGTTGGGAATGTGCAGGTTGGGGGGAGGGGACCGGGGGGTGTGTTCGGGGTCAGATAGGGGTTTTTCGGTCCTTTAGGGGTGTTTGGGGGGGTGTTAATGGGGGTTGAATTTTTTTTTTTTTTTTCTGGTTTGAGTGTTCTGGCATGTAGGCACACGTGTCTGAGGCCCAACGCGCAAATTCCGTTTTTCGGAATTCGACGAGAAGCCCCTGTTTTTGCGTTAAACGCGATTCAACGGGGGTCCAGGGACCCGTTAAACGAAGGTTCGGGCGTTGAATTCTGCCCGTTCTCCGTTCAAGGGATACACAGGAGCTTGCGACAACATCCGTGGCAAGATCTTTGTGAAGCATGTCGGCTCGTGCGGTTTCGGATCCCGCTCTCTCCAGCCCTGTCATATGCAATCCCCTGTCCTTCGAACTTCAGAGATCGTCCAGGTGGCACCATCATGGTCCATCAGATCTCTGTGTGCTCTGCACACCCAGTCCAGCGCAATCGATCGAATCAGAGCATAAGTTGACGTCATTGTCAATGGCGTGATCTTCGCGAAAACTGTTGATTCGTGCTGCTAAGGCACACGTGGCAGGTTTCAACGTCGTGTGGTGATGGGGAAGTAGACATTATATATGGAGGGTGTCGACGGGGAGGGTTGGGGGGGAGTGGGGGTAAGTATCAGTTTATCCCTTCCTCCCTGATCGGGAGTTCCTCGTAGCGGATGATCCGGTGAAAGCGGGGAAACCGATCGCCGATGTGAGGGAGGGAGGCGAGGTAGTCAGGGTAAAGGGTGGAGAAAGTGCGGAAGAGTGTCGCGCAAAACTGCTCGTGATGGCCACACGCGGGGATGGTCTCTGTGATTACGCAATAGACTTCTACTGCGTTACTCTGTTCCCACGCGGCACTGAACAAGAGGACGTGTAAACAGAATGTGGGGTTTGCGGATTGAAGGGAAGGGTGGGGATGGACGGTGACGGCGAGACGGGTGGAGTAAAAGTGACGGAAGGTGTTGGGAGGAAAGGGGTTGCGAGGGAAGGTGACGGGGGAAGAGATCTGGCAGAGGGTGAGGCAATCAAGGGGACGACGGGATAATGACCGGAAACGAAGGCCGATTCCCCGCATCGGTACGTGGACGAACTAGGGGACGGGTTGGGGAGGAGGGGGAGGAGGGGGAGGGGGATCGGCTCCATCTCCGTCGTGATGCTCTTGGAGCTGCGGCTACTGATCCGCCATCTTCGGGCTTGGGGGGCTCTGGATCCTTGGTTGGGTCATCATTGACACACATGCTTGCCTTGCTGGCGATTTCCAACTGGTTTTTCCCGGCGGCGATCTCTTCCCTTCTTCGTGCTGCTTCGGGATCTTCTGCTTCCGCGCCGGTGCGCGCCGCTTCTTCCGGCAAGTCCTCCCACTCTGATCCGGCTTCCTCCTCCTCTTCTTCTTCTTCTAGCTCCTCGCTGTACTCACTATAGCTTCCTTCCTCTGACGTTTTTTTCGTCTGCTTCGCCCTCTTCTTCGGTGGCTTCTTCCTCCTCTCCAGGCGCCTCCTCAGGATCTTCCTTTGGATAGAAGGCGAGGTTGATAATCCCGTACGACTTCAAGTACTCTTGCCGCGATGGCAAAGTGTTGTCACTCCGGGGTTCCTCCAAGCAAGCAGTCCACTGAAGATACGGTGCTAATGGCCGTGTGAGGACATGGGGAGCGGGGCTGTCGTCGCTTTGCGAAACGATCTCGAGGGAGAGATCGCCAGCCTATTGTGCGAGCGGGACGACGAGTTCTTGAGTAATTGGCTGGCGATTGTCTGGCCGCACCGATCCGAAGAGGAAACCGAGAAGATCACCTTCCACATCCGTTCTCCAAGCCTGGATGATCAACAGCTCCAGGTACTCGATGCACGCAGGATGCTCGCTGGTCCGCGCCCATGTCACCTGCACTCGGGCCAAGCACACAAATAGATCGACAAAGGTCTCGCGCCACACCTACCAATGCGCGGGATCAAGGAGCGGGACGGCAAGAGGTTCGAGCAAGAAAGAAAGGCGAGGATGGAGATCGGATTGCTAGAAGGTGGGGAAAAGGGAGGGGAGACCGAAGGTGGAGAGAGGAGCGAGAGGAGCGGCACGGTTCATTTGGGGCGTTGGAAGGGGATAAGGGTGGGGAGCATGACTGCCGGCTGGCGCGGTGACGTGCGAACGTCGAAGTCCGTCCCGGATGTTGGGATCAGGCTATTCTCTGGACGCGCAAGGCCGTGCTGCCACTCGTTTGACAACTGCTGCGTCCACTCTCGCAAAGAGGTCAAGATCGCGGTATACCTGAGTGGGTTGATCGTGCTAATGTCGTCGCTGAAGGCAGCGACCGTGGTGACGTGGCTCGTCCCTGGAGCCGCTCGTCGATGAAGAGCCACTACCTCTGCCAATACCCCTGCCTGCTGACTCCCGGCGAATCGGAACGCAGCAGCGGCACACACTCCCTTGGTGTTGTGCAACCGGTTAAACGCGCCGAACGCACGTTCACGTTCAAACGCGAGCGTTCATACCCCCCGGGGCCGCGTTCAATCGCGTTCAAACGCACTGCACGCGCGCGCGCAAGAAAAAAATGAGCGTGGTCACGTGCGGTGCACGCGCACGTCGCGGGCTACGAGGTGGTGGGTCTCGTTAAAGGAGACCTGATAGTGCTAAAACAGCCCCCGTGGAGGCCCACCCCACCTACCGCATCACCCCCCGCCATTTGTGACTGCTTTTTTTTTGGGGGGGCAGTAGGGGAATCCCCCTAACACGCCTCAGACGGCCCATGTAGGCAATCGGGAGGGTCTTCGCAGCACTAAGCTGCAGACCCTCCATCAGACTCGAGGTGGGCAATGAGTATGAAGTGGGCCATGAGCTGGCCCTATATATACTCTGGAATCGAGTTCAGGTCTGTGTTCCACCAGTTATGGGTTGCTCATGTTGGTCTGCAGTTTGCACGAGATAGGCTTGGCTGCACTACTCACCCAATGTGCAAAACTAGAATGAATCTTCTGCAGAACATGGAATAATACGCTGCCATATGTTTTGTTTTTTGTGCATGTGGTGAGTGGAGGCCCTTAGGGCCACTGCACGTAATCCTGAGAAAAGAAAAAAGAGAAAAAAAGAAAAATGAGAAATAAGCAAAACGAAATCAGAAATACGTATAGTGGCCCTAAGGGCCTCCACTCACCACATGCACAAAAGACAAAACATATGGTGGCGTATTATTCCATGTTCTGCATAAGATTCATTCTAGTTTGCACATTGGGTGAGTAGTGCAGCCAAGCCCTGAGAATCACGTGCAGACTGCAGACCAATGTGAGCAACCCATAACTGGTGGAACACAGACCTGAAGTCGATTCTAGAGTATATATAGGGCCAGCTCATGAGCCACTTCATACTAACTGCCCGCCTCGAGTCTGATGGAGGGTCTGCAGTTTAGTGCTGCTAAGACCCTCCAGATTGTCTGCATGGGCCGTCTGAGCCGTGCTACGGGGACTCCCCCAAGCCCCCCGAAAAAAAAAAGGAGCACTCACACGCACACACATGCGTTCCTACACACACAGACACACCAATTCACACACTTTTTTTCCTTTTGTCCCGTTTCTTGTGGGGCATCGGCCCACAGCCCCTCCCCCAAGCAGCTCTGCCGCTCCCCACACTGCACACAGCCCCCCCAAGTACCGTCGCCGCTCCCCACACTTCCCAAAAGCCCCCCACACCCCGCACAAGCCCCTGCGCAAACGCGTTCACTGCGCTCAAGCGCGTTCACTGAACGCGCGTTCAGTGTGTTCATACCCTGAACGCGGAACGCGCGGTAACATAGCCTCGGTGCAGAAAAACTGCGCTACCCTTTGCAGATCAGGACTAAGCCGCGGATGACGAACTTGCCGGATCTCGGAG